GTCCCTCCTCCGGACATGTCCAAACCACTGTCCCTCCTCCGGACATGCCCAAACCACTGTCCCTCCTCCGGACATGCCCAAACCACTGTCCCTCCTCCAGACATGTCCAAACCACTGTCCCTCCTCCGGACATATCCAAACCACTTGTCCAAACCACTGTCCCTACTCTGGACATGTCCAAATCACTGTCCCTCCTCTGGACATGTCCAAACCACTGTCCCTCCTCTGGACATGTCCAAACCACTGTCCCTCCTCTGAACATGTCCAAACCACTGTCCCCCCTCTGGACATTTCCAAACCACTGTCTCTCCGCTGGACATGTCCAAACCTCTGTCCCTCCTCTGGACATATCCAAACCACTTGTCCAAACCACTGCCTCTCCTCTGAACATGTCCAAATCCCTGTCCCTCCTCTGGCCATGTCCAAACCACTGTCTCTCCTCTGGACATGTCCAAACCACTGTCCCTCCTCTGGCCATGTCCAAACCACTGTCCCTCCTCTGAACATGTCCAAACCACTTGTCCAAACCACTGTCCCTCCTCTGGACATGTCCAAACCACTGTCCCTCCTCTGGCCATGTCCAAACCACTGTCCCTCCTCTGAACATGTCCAAACCACTGTCCCTCCTCTGGACATGTCCAAACCACTGTCCCTCCTCTGGACATGTCCAAACCACTGTCCCTCCTCTGGACATGTCCAAACCATCTCAGTATGTCCTCCCTAACTTTATCTCCCAGTTGTTCAACCTGTGCTGTTCCTCTGATGATCTCATTCCTGAGCTTCTCCATCCTTGTCTCTCCTAAGGAGAACCTCAACATCTTTATTTCTGGCACTTCCAGTTCTGTCTCCTGTCTTTTTGTCCATGTCTCTGTTTCCAGACCATACAACATAGCTTTTCTCACAACTGTCTTGTAAACTTTTCCTTTGATCTTTGCTGACACCCTTTTGTCTCAAATCACTCCTGAAACTTTTCTCCATCACTCCATCCTGCCTGGACTCTCTTCTTCACCTCTTTACCACACTCCCCATGTTCCTGGACAGTGGACCCCCAGTACTTGAAGTCCTGCACCTTGGTGACCTCTGCTCCTTGTAGCCTCACCCAGGGGTGATTCTAGGATTTGACCTTTTGTGGTGCTTGGTCCCCAGTACTGATAATGGCTCTTGGCTTGAACGCACCCCATGGTGTGGTTTGGGAAAAGTGCAAGAGCTTGGTCTCCCATCCAAGAACCAACCATCCTAACCTGCTTTGCTTCTGAGATGCATGGGATGGCTGTAAACAAAGAGCTCAGTCACAAATAGGACTTTTAACGGATCATAACAAACAAAGACTAAACTTATACAACCAGAAGTTACAACATATATCTATGTACAAAACAAAACACAACTATCTTTAAGCATCAACCTTTAATTTAACCATAAAACATGCAACGTCATTATGACAGAAAATGGAGGACTTATCTGCAGTTACCTTCATACACATGAACATGTACTTCCTGTTTATAAGTGTTGTATTGAGCTGCTCGTGAGGTCAGCCACAGGCCTTCATCATCTCTTACATTTTCCCAGGCTCAGTTTGTAAATGGAATCATCTGTATTATCCTGGTGCATGCTCAATAATCTGTATTCCACTCTAAACACTCAGGGTAACGCTGTCTGAACTGCATGACAACGTTTAATCATTTGTTCCAATTCACAAAGCTTTCATAATGCAAAACCCCGACAATGTGGTTGGAGGAAAAAGGGGTGGAGCTCCTGCAGGTAAGGGGCGTTTCAATTAGGGACAAATTGTGATTGATAATTTACCAGTTGTTGATGAGCATACAGGTTTGATTGACAGGTGGGGTTGAGGACTGGGGTCTGACTTGTGCTAATAAAAATAAAAAATCATAGATTTTACTGACCAGTTTGAGTGTCGTCATTTATTCCATATTTATTCCATATTTTGATGAATCTAAGGCTTGAGAATTGTTTCCTTACAAAAAACTAATGATGGTTTCTTTATTTTTCAGGGGTGCTGAGTTAAAATTTAGGGGTGGTTCAGCACCCCCATAAAGAGGTTAAAATCACCTCTGGCCTCACCGGGCTGCTGTGGCTCAGTGGTTAGAGCAGTCGTCCTCCAATGCAAGAGTTGGGGGTTCGAATCCACCAGCAGTCATATGCCAAAGTGTCCCTGAGCAAGACACTGTCCCATCAGTGTGTGAATGTGATAAATCTCTGATTAGTCTCTTTAGAATGATTTGTTCAATTATCTTTGTAGAGATCTAGTATAGAGCTGTACGAATGGGTAAATGAGGCACAGATTGTTGTAAAGAGCTTTGAGTGTCTTGAAATAAGATAGAAAGGTGATATATAAGTACAGTCCATTTACCATTTACTGTTCCACCTCCTCCCTCTCATTCACACACATGGACTCTGTCTTACTACGGCTGATTTTCATTCCTTTTTTCAAGTGCATACCTCCACCTATCCAAGTTCTCTTCCACCTGTTCCCTGTTCTCACCATAGATCACAATATCATCTGCAAACATCTTCGTCAATGGGGATTCCTGCCTGACCTCATCTGTTAGCCGGTCCATCACCAGAGCAAACAAGAAGGAGCTCAGAGCTGATCCTTGATGCACTCCCATCTCCACCTTGAAGCTATCTGTCACTCCTACAGCACATCTCACCACTGTCCTGCTGTCCTCATACATGTCCTGCTGTCCTCATACATGTCCTGTTGTCCTCATATATGTCCTTCTGTCCTCATACATGTCCTTCTGTCCTCATACATGTCCTGCTGTCCTCATACATGTCCTTCTGTCCTCATGCATGTCCTTCTGTCCTCATACATGTCCTGTTGTCCTCATACATGTCCTTCTGTCCTCATACATGTCCTTCTGTCCTCATACATGTCCTTCTGTCCTCATACATGTCCTGTTGTCCTCATACATGTCCTTCTGTCCTCATACATGTCCTGCTGTCCTCATACATGTCCTTCTGTCCTCATACATGTCCTTCT